ACCTTAGTGGAAAAGTGTGAGCATGTCATGTGCCCTTTTGTTACGGCACGAAGCGGTAACACTTTACCCGTGCCTTAAACGACAGCCGAGACGATCCTTCTTCTCCTCCTCCTCGTCCTCCTCCCTCCTCCTCCCCCTTGCCCCCTCCCCCCTCCTCCCCCCTCCTCCCTCCTACGGCGCGTGGGCCTGCAGGCCCTAGCCCGAAGACCCCGCGCCCCACGTCCAATTCCAGATCCCAAGAATATCCCAACCGAAGCCTAACATCCTATACGCTCTGATTCTATCCAATCACACTACGACAGGACTATATCTAACTCTCCGACCTTTCAGACCTCGGCGTTATGCGCGATACCCAATGCCAAATGCCCCGATGCCCTAACTGTAATACCTAGCCTTCTGACCGATATCCCCATCGTTCCCCCTCCCTCCCTGCCCCCTTCGTCGCAGGCCCAGCAGCAGGCCCTCAGCCTCGTTCTCCCTCCTCCTCTTTCCCTCGTCCCCTTATCCCAGCCCCGGCCCTTCCACCTTCCCCATCCCCCGGTGACAAACGGGGGGGGGGGCATGGGGGAGGCCGGGCCACCCCCCGGGGGTGGGGCGGGGGGGGAATGGGGCGAGGAGGGGGGCGCGGGTAGGTGGCGGGAGGGGGATGGAGGAGAGGGGGGGGGCGATGATGGCGAGGAGCGGTCGGGGGTGGCGGCGCGCGCCGCCGCGCGCTCCCCGCGCGGGAGGTGCGGATCCCGTCGGCGCGTGGTCGCGGATCCCTGTTTTCGATAATTCTTGTTGGTTTTCGATAGGTTTTTCCTTGTTTTCGATAGTTTCGGGGGGGTTTTCGATAGTTTCAGGGCGCCGACGGACAGCCGAGGAGGGATCCACGGGGTGGCCGCGCAGGGGGCCGGAGATTGCGCGCAGGGGGGGGGGAAGGGCATGGCGAGGAGGAAGAGGACGAGAGGGAGGAAGAGGAGGAGGAAAAGGAGGAGGAGGAGGAGGTGGAGGAGGGCTCGCCTCTGTAGGAGGGGGGGGGATCCGCCAGGCGCTGAGCCCGAACACCGGGCAGGGCACCGCCGCCGACGGCATGCCGGTTGAGCTCAGCCTCAGCCCCGGCGGCCAGCTGGACCTCGCGCAGGCTGCGAAGGCCATGCTTGACCGCTTGCCCTCGGCGCACAGGGACAGGCTCCTGCGCACGTTGCAACGCGCAGAGGTCATCCACTTTGGCACGGCTTGCTCTGGCACGGACGTGTGTTGCATGGCAATGAGCTCCTTGGTTCAGGATCTCCGGTGCCGCGCAGAAGCGGCAGTTGTCGCACTCCTCTTTTCCTCTTCCTACTCCTCTTCTTCCCATCGCATCCTCCTACTTCTTACTTCTTACTCCAGCTCCTCTTCATTATCCTCGTGGCCCCCTCCCCTTTAGGGCAAGCGGGTGATGTGCGTTGCATCTTGCATCCCGCTCCTCCTTCTACTCCGCCTTCCCTCCGCCGTCCAAGTCACCCACTCCCCCAATCCCTCCACCCATCCCTCCTCTCTACTCCCTCCTCACTCCTCCTTTACCTTCACCGCCCTCGATCCTCTTCCTTCCTGCCCCTTGCCCCCCTGAGATTCTGAGCTCCTGAGGCTTGGGCACTTGGGCAGCACTTGGGCAATCGAATTTGCAGGATCGGCTCTTGGACTTCCCCCTCATCCCCTCAGCCCCCTCGGAGAAGGACCCTGGGAATGAGTCCTTTTCGGCTCTCGCCCCGTCGGCCCTCATCCCATCGGCCAGCCCCCCGGGTGGGGGGGTGCCCCTTCCTTGCCCCCCCGTGTTCTCGGTCCGATTCGGTCTTCGCTTCTCCACCCCCCTCGCGCCGTCCACCCTCCCCCCAGGCTGTTGAGCAGCATCGGGACTTTTCGGGCTCGCCGATACAGTGCAGGCACCGCTTCAGCTGCGACATCAAGCTGGCGTCGCAAAAGTTCGTGCTAAAGTTCGCGTCGCCCGATCACATGTTCGAGGATTGCGCGACGCTTGCCAGCGACCGGGCGTGCGACATCAAATCCAAGAAGGTCACGTGCGTCCCGCCTCTCGACATCATCGTTGCAGGTTTTTCCTGCAAAGCGGTATCGCACCTCAACAAGGATGCGCCCAGAGCCCGCACCTGCGTGGCGACGAAAGCCCTGTCCACTGGAGTGACGTTTGATGGTATTCTGGGTTATTGCAGGCGCTGGCGCCCGAAAATCATAATCTTGGAGAACGTGGTCGCCATCTGTGATTCTCCTGACGGCGGCATGTCAAACGCCGACGCTGTGATCATGGCCATGCAGGGGTTGGGCTACACGGTGCACCTCGTCACCATGGATCCGCGCGACTACGGCATCCCGCAGCGCCGGAAGCGCGCGTGGTTCTTATGCGGGCTGGGCACTACCATTGACGACGCTCGCGACAGCGAGTGCAACCAGTTCCGCGGCATCGACCCTTTCGACCAGGCCCCGCGCGTCTTGGACGCGATCCGTTTGCCGATGACCGCGTTGTCCGAGTACCTCATGGCCAGCGACTCCGTCGACCTCGAGCTGTGGCAGCACTGCAGGAAGGACAGCCGCGCCCCCCGCTCCCCCTTGGGTCGGGGTTGGGGGAGGAGAAGAAGGAGGAGCAGGAAAATAGGAAGGGGATGAGGAAAGGGGAGGGTGGAGATCAGGGCGGGAGAGGGGGATGGGGAAAGGCGAGGAGGCTGAGGATGACTCCGACGAAGGAGAGGGGCGAGGGGGGGGAGCGTGGAGGATGAGGAGTTGGATTGCAGGGCTGTTGGGTGGATGTGGGAAGGGCCGGGGGGCGAGGCGGAGGGTGGCAGTCCGTAGCAGTTTCGGTTCCTAGACTAGACGTCTAGACGTAAGGGCGCTGGCCCAGCTGCCCTGCCTTGCCCGAGCTCGGCCATGCGCGACCACGGCCGCGGCGCCCGCTGGGGCCCTGGTGATTCGGATTGGCCGAGCCAACGGCCCGAGTCCAATCTCTGGCTGGCCTACGTTGAATTCGGGGAGCCTTCGCGACCGCGCCGCCCCGTAGCAGCCCTAGCTTCCGCTGCAGCAGCGGCGGCATCAGCAGCAGCTGCGAGATCGACCGCTGACACTGGCGCCCGCCGCGCCGATGTCGACATGGAAGCCCCGGCCCGCCCGGCCCCGGCCCCGACCGAGTTCGACGCCGCGTGGCCGCGTGCCTCCTTCGCTCGCGGGTGCACCCTGGCCGAGCCCCTCCTGAGGACGGCCCTCCTGGTTGAGGATTCGGATGATGAGGGGCCTCCGTTGCCTGAGTCCGCGGCGATCTCGATCTCGGACTCGGACGCGGACTGCGATGCCGAGCTTGGGGTCGAGGTCGCGGCGGCGGCCGCGGATCTGGGCGGGCGAAAGCGGGGGCTCGGGGGTGGGGGCGGGGGCGGGGGGGGGGTGCGAGAATTGTTGCATGCTGTTGGTTTCGGCCCCGCCGCCAGGCACTTTCCCGGATGCGCGGTCGGCTGATTCGCCGGCCCCCCATTCCCTATCCCCGATCCCCCCCCTCTTCGCCCGCCCCGAAAGGAGATGGGGGTGGCGCCCGTGCCGGGCGCGCGAGGCGACATTGTTGCCGCCGCCGCCGCCGTCGACAGCCACTTCGGGGGCCAGAGCGGGGGGGGCGCCTACGCCAGGGCGGACGACAACGACGACGACGACGCCTCGGTGATCTCGATCCCGGTCTCAACGGCAACGGAGCGTTCGGACAGCAGCGAAGAGATTGGCGTCGAGGGCGCGCCAGTGCCCGAGGAGACTCCCCAGGCGACATGGGGGGCGCTTGTGCCTGGCGCCCGAGGCGACGATGCCAGTGCCGACACTCTGGATTATCAGGACACCGTCAGCTACAGCGCCTTGTTGCCAGTTTACGGTGGCCAGATGGAGGAGGGCGCGGAGGCCGACTACGACGAGTAGTCGGATTTGATGCGTGGGCGGCGTCCAGGGGGGGCTGCCGTCGTGCGCGCGGCAGCGGGGCGCCGCGCTCGCCATTGCCTAGAATATTCGCTGATTCCTGAATCATTGTGCTTTCGGGCACTTGTATATATAAGTTTAGGTTATTATTGTTGAGAACACATGTGGCAGCAGCGAGAGGAACGAACGCGCAATGCCCATGCGAGAGAGGGCGGCATCGGCATTGGCCCCGGCTGACACCCGAGACTTCCTCAGTCTCCCCGGCGGGGCCAGAGGAGGGTGAGGGCGAGGGGGGCAGGGGCAGGGGCAGGTGACATCAGCGCGTCGGCAGCCCCCAATCAAATCACGGCACCGCAGACAAAACGACTTTATCAACGCAACGATGCCCAACGCAAATGCACAAACCAAAAACGACAGCACGCCAACGTGACGATGCCGACCAACAAACACACAATACCAAAATGATACGATACCAACGACATTACACTAACCAAACGCAACAGCAAACAACCAAAACAAAACTCCCAGGAAACACTGATGGGCAAACCTCAAAGGCAGAAAAAAAAAGCCCCTACCCTGGTTTACGAGGCGCTGTGCTCTGAAACTCCTGTGGGCTGACAGGGTAAACCCTGCGTGATCTGCCGCGTCCTGGCGGCTCTAGGCTTTGGGGGTTCCCAGGAGGTTCACAGGCCACGCACTTGTAATCCAGGGTAGGGCCGTTTTTTTCATTCCTCAAAAACCAGCACACGTTGAGGCCTCTGGTGTCATGGGCATTTCCGAGCCGCCTTGGAGGCCATAGTGTCGGCCCCTCGTGGGCCAACTTGAATACGCCATATGTCGGGGGTGGACAGACCTCCTACCCTGACACGTCGATTGAGGAATTGGCCGTTTTCGTTTCGCGAGAGGGCGTCGCGGCCGTCATTTTTTTCGGGTCCAGGTCAGTCGATTTCGGTCCCAGGCCGTTCTCACTAAGGGGAGGTATACTAAAGGGAGGTTTGTCCACCGCCGAATATGGCGCCATCTTTGCCATCGAAATAGGCCTCGGGAGCACGCCTTCCCCCTTCCCACGCGCCCGCCCCCCCGAGGATCAGAAGCACCGCCAGGGCAAGGAGGTTCGCCGCCCGAAGTGGCATGCGTTGCACCAAGAGACGTTCCAGAAGAACGGCATCGCGTGGCCCCCTGTCGTCTCGAACGTATACAGTCCTGCCAGGGTGAAGGCTCTCAGTGGACTCCCAGCGAGGTGCGTCGAGATCGTAGTGTTCCATGACCTCGCGAACCCCTTGAGCGAGGTGGGGCCCGAGGAAGTTATCGATTTGAACAATGCCATTACGCGTTCCCAGGTGGACGTGGGTTGTTCGCCATGCATCTGTCCAAAAGCAGTATTGTGGCTCCGCCGGGCTTTCAGGGTCATGGAGCCGAACGAGAAGATGATGTTGCAAGGCCTGCCCTATTATACGTTCGGCGACCTGGAGTCGGCGGGGCTGTCGCCGAGGGACGTGGACGACCTGTCAGGCGACGCGTTCAACGGCGAGTGCGCGCTGGCGGCGTTGTTCAGCTGCCTCTCCACGTACTCGTGGCCCGACGGCACGTCGAGCCAGTCGAGTTTTTAGCGCCGCATGCCGAGCTCCGGCCACACGAGCCCGGGCGGTGGCGGCGCCCGGCCGGCTTCAGGGGTCGACGGTCGGGGCCATTAGCTGATGGGCGTGTTTCCCACCACCACCACCATAAGTTGGAGTTGGGAAGGAGGAGGAGGAGGACGAGGACGAGGAGGAGGAGGACGAAGAAGAGGAGGAGGAGGAAGAGGAGGGCACCCTCCCCCTCCAACTTATGGCGGTGGTGGTGGAAAACAGGCCCATCATTAGCTGAGCCATTCGCGTTTTTTCTGGAAACATGGGCACGGTGGGTAGGTTCGCGCGGCGTCGACGCGGTGGCGACGGTGGCGACCCCGCCAGCGCGGGCGTTCAAGGTTGAACTCGCCCGAGGGTGAGTTTGAGGAGGACATTGCCACGTGCGCTTGTTGGACCGTTAAGGATGGAGCCCCCCTGTAATTTTATGCTCACCACTGGGGCCATGTTTAGGCCCTTTGAGATATCGGCGCTTTTCTGGGGGTTCTTCACGGCGTCGCTCGAGGCCCTCGCTCTTATCCGCACGTGCGGGGGATAGCTAGCTAGGTATAGTGGCATTCACCCCCCCCCCCCTTCCAAGTCTCTCGCGCCCCCGCCCTGGCCCGCCCTCCCCCCAGGGGGGCGAAGATAGACGCGCCTCGCGCTCGTGCGTCGCGGCCCGGGCCCGAGAGCTGCCCTGCTCCAGTGGGGCGGCGCGAGGGCGCGAAGATGATCGCGGAGCGCGTTGCGCGTTGCGCGAAGCTAGGCGACCAGGGGCCTCCTGGCGCCGTCCTCGCTCCTGCACCCACCCCTATTTGGTCAGCCATTCTGGCGCGAACCCGTCACTCGGGGTTCGCCGTCGACGACCCCTCCCTGGGGCGCGCGTCGCCCTAGTGCTTTCGGCCCCCCCCATCCCGCGCTGCTGGGCGGCGCCCATGGACATCCTGGACATCCCGGACAGCTGCCGCACCTCCGAAGGCGTCAGCGAGGGCAGCCCATCCGTCGCATCCATGTTCGGCCAGGCCCAGCACGTCGGAGAACCGCCCCAGAAACGTCCTAAGCGAGAACAGCGAGAGGGCCCCGCCGATGAGCAGCGTAAGACTTTGGGTTTCGTTGGTGTTCTTATCTCCTTGATCGCCTCCGCGCTCACGGCCAAGCAACAGAAGAAAGCGTGCACTTTCTGTACTGCCCTGCTGACTTCCCCAGACCCACTCGACGACGAGTACACGATAAGTTGGCACAAGCCGAACCTAGAGGGGAAGGTGTGCGCAAATTGCGGGAATACGAAGATGCGCCAGTACCCCCACCTCACCATGGAGCGCGCGCACAGTGAGATCGTGAAGGACAAGGACAAGCACGACAAGTTCTTCAGGTTCCGTCAGTTCCTTATCGACCAAGCAGGCAATCGGTACGTGAAGGAACTGACCACGAGCACTCCTCGAGAGACAGTTGACGCACACAACGACGTCAGCATCAACAAAAAAGACAAGGGGATGATGAAGCTGTACGATTCCTACTGCGAAACTTATGGGAAGCCCGAAGAGAACGGGCTTGGGCACGTAGTTACCACGACAGTTTGGAAAGACGGGAGTCAGCAGAAGGTGGTTCTTATCCCTAAGACGGCCCAGGACGAAATGGAGTGCGAGTGGTCGTGGAGGACTGGTTTCAGTCACAAGACGAGGCTCGATGACGGCAAGGTCACGATGGATCCGCGGCAGCAGGCCGATTTGTTCCAGACGCTTCGCAACACCAGGGGTAACTCTGAGTTATCAGGTAGCGTCCTCGCACCACCAGCCCCGGCGCCGGCGCCGCCGCCCGCTCCAGTGGCCCTCGAGGGCGGTCCGCAGCAGCCCCCTGACGTCGCGGCGCCCAAGGACGAGGATGCTGACATGTTGTCCTCTCAGGAGGCCCCAGAGGTCGACGTCCTCGACTTGATGGGCATCGGCATCGGCACGGGCGCGGCCGCCAGCACGGCGGGCGCGCCCTCCCCGGCCCCGCCCGCGCGCGGCAAGCGCGGTCGCGGCTCTGGTGCGCAGCCGCACGCCTCGGTCGGTTCGCGGCAGGACAGCAGCCTGCCGCAACCGCTGGGGGCCCCGCAACCGCGCCGCGGCGCAGCGCCAGGCGGTGGCGCCGCGTCGGCGGCCGCCGCGGCTGGCGACGACTGCGGCCGCAGCCTCGGGGAGCCCAGCACGGAGCGGAGGCCCCCCCGCCGTTCGGGGCGCGGCAGCGGCAGGGGCCGCGGCGGCGGCGGAGGCGGCGCAGGCGACGACCCCACGAAGATTCAGAAGGACTTGGAGGTTTTGATTGGTAAGGGGAAGGTTACACTCGATGAGTTCGCCAACTGGGGCAAGGATGTCATTGTCCGGGAAAAGGACAAGAAGTTTTACAAGGCTGCGCGTATGATGCAAGATTCACTGAACGAGAAAAGCGACAAGGTCTTGGATGATGAGCTGGGCAAAAATGCTACATGCATAGCCAAATCTTTGGGCATCATGATCCTCCGCATGAAGGCTTACACTGCTTGGGTGAAGCGGCCCGACGACCTGGCCTACGATGCCGAGCTGCAGTCGATCGCCAGCTGGGCAAATAAGGGCCCGATCGTCGAGCTGGACCTTCCCACTTGCATCCAGGCAGACGAGAAGGAGCACGCCTTCAGGACAAATTTCCCGGACTTCATCAAGTCGAGCATGTCTTCGCCCGATCGCGGATCAGAGGAGTGCACGCGCCGCTGGCAGCATATCGACATCGCGTCGTTGCAGAGGCTCCGAGGGGCTCGAACGGCCCTTACCCTCTGCTTCCCTCTTCCTCCTGCCTCCTTCTCCCTCGTCCCCACCTCCTCTCTCCTTGCGTTCCCGTCGCCCCCCCCGTCCACCTGGGCATCTTCGCGCATTTTTGATTCATCTGATCTGCTCCCGCAGCAGGCCGAAGAACGTGGCAACTTGCTCGTCCACCTCCCCCTCTATATTCCTCGCTCCTCCTCATCCTCCTCCATCCCCTGTGCCCCCCGGTGCCCCTGCGCCTCCTCTTCCAATGGCTCTGCCGAGGGCGCGAAGATTTTCGCGCTTTGCAGTTGGGGCTCCGCCCTCTCCCAGCCCCCCTTCGACCCCGCGAGGGCGGCGCGAGAGCGCCGAGTTATTCGAATTTCGCTTCGCGCAGCGCGAAGCGCGAAGCTAGGAAAAGCTAGGGGCCCATAGAGAGACGCGAGAGGTGAGAGGCCCGACGAGGGGAGGCGGCGGGGGGGGAGGCGGGCGGGGGAGGAGCGTAGAGGCTTGAGAGGCTTGAGGCGTAGGGAGGAGGAGGAAGCCCGCCCGCGAAGGGTTCACCCGACGGACGAGGCCGTGAAAGAGCAGTACCGTCCTGCTAGACTTCCTGAATGATGGGGAGACGCGCAAGACGCCCCTGGACGAGCAGGCCAGCATGATCTTGCAGTTCCTGAAGCCGGTCCCCGTGAATGCGCCGCCGGCTGCCTTCGAGATCGGGGAGGGCCTTCAGTCCGCCTTGGCTACCGTCAAGAGAATGTGCGCGACGAGCGGCTACAGCGGAGATCCATTTTCAAAAGCCATCAGCAGATCGTTTCGACGGGTTCCCCCCCTACAGGTCGGTCGTTGAAAGTTGGTATTTTTGGAATCTCGAACCCCAATATACTTCCATCGCCTTCCTACTTCAAGATTCGGCATCCCACTTCAGGGATCGCCTTTTCGAGGGCGGGCCGAAGCCCAATCTTCTTTTAACGTATTCCAGCATGTTTCTACGCTTCTACCTACTTCTGCCGACCGACAGGTAGCCCTGATCCCCATCGACCCTCCACCCTCCACCCGCCCCCCCTCGCCCTGGCCGCGGCCTCTTCCGTCGTCGCCGCCCGCGGCTTCAAGGCCCTTGGTTGGTCCAAGACAGGGCCCTTGGCCCATGGGTGCCCGGCCCGTTTTCCGTGGTCCTGAACCGTTGGGGCTCTTCAGTTTCGGCAGCTGGTTAGCCCCCCCGGGCCCCCCCCCATTCGACTTTGGGCCCGCGGGGGAACGGGGCGCGGGCGGGCCCGTTATTCCGAGCTGCCCGGCGCCCCACAGGCAACGCGCAGGAGGCGGTCGACCTGTTGCAGAAAGTGCAGGCCACCAAGACCGAGGGCACCGTCGAGAGCCTTTTCACCGGGAACATAGCTGGAGCCAAGCTCTTGAAGCACCTCAAGGACATTGGGGGCGGCTTGGGCGGGCGGGCGGGGGTCGCAGTCAGCCGAGGCCCGCTGCGCGACGCTTGTTCGAACAAGTTTTATCCTACTGGCCTTCGGCCAATCCCGCCACCGCGCCTGGGTAGTGGGTCAGAGGCCTCAGGGATCTTGCTTGGGATCTCGTGGCTGGCCTCTTTGGGGCCTCTTGGGGGCCTCTTGGGGGGCCTCTTGGGGCCTATTTGGGGCTCTTGGGGGCTCCTTGGAGGCTTCCTGGGGTTTCTATGGGACCGCTTGGGGGCTCCCTGGGGCTTCTTGGGCGCTTCTTGGGCGCCGCGGGGGGCGGGGGGGGGGAACTCGAGGTCGGGGCCCCCGTCAGAGGCCGCGAACCTCGCGAGGGGCGTCGAGAATTAGCCCCCCCAGAGTCACGTGACAAGACGCGGGGGTGCTGCCGGGGGCCCCAAGGCTACGGCGGGAAGCCCCGAGAGATTTGGCAATCTGGGCTCTGGCCCCTTAAATGACACCTCAGGAATGATGGCTGGGGCTCAGGGGGCGAGGCAGAGACGCGCCCCTCCGTGCCCGAGGCGCGGTGGCGGATGCGGTGTCGCTTGAATGCGTCTGGTTGTCCCTCCTCGTTGTTGCACGTCTGCCCCCGTAGTGGTTTCGCGTCTGCCCATGTGGCTTCGGGCGTGTCCTCCCTCATGGTTGCACGTATGTCCCCCTAGCGGTTTCACGTCTGCCCCCCCTTTGTGCGGTTTCCCCGCGTGTCCTCCCTCATGGTTGCACGTATGTCCCCCTAGTGGTTTCGCGTCTGTCTCTGCCCGTGGTTTCGCGCGTGCCCCCCCCC